GAGTAGACCAAAGCCAAGTCCACTCACTGTGACATGACAGGACCAAACAGAAGTGGGGTTCCTTTCAGGGCAGCTCTCGTCGCCGGGCACCATCCAGTTCTTCTGGTCTCAGGGTTGTGGAGACTACAGATGTTCTAATGCACCATCAGTCCGTTGGACTAATTGTTTCCAGGCATCTTTGGATTATTTTTCCGCTTTCCTTTCCTCCAGATGTGGAGAGACCATCTTAGTGACATCCGCCACCCCCAGGGCCTCAGTCCTTGCTTCGAGGAGTTTGACGGCATCTAAGAAGCTTCCATAACCCTGGCCCCTGTCGGTTTCACCACCATCGTGGATATATTTGCAGCAAAGATAAGCACACACATACCAATGTCTTCTGTCAAAGCCTATGCGTATTGTGAGGAAAGCCCACTCTCCTTCCCACACCTTCTCAGCCTACATGTATGTCCAAGCATCTGCTTGTCGATCACACGACTGCAGGATGGCGCAGCTAACAGCGTGGCCTGTGGGCGGGGACCCTGTGGGCGGTTCTAGTCCATCCTAGAGGGCTGCGCTGAGTCGTGGATAGGAACCAACTCCGTGCAATGCCTTGTTTGGTTGTTGTTGTTGTTTGTTTTTAACTCCTTTGACTCGGAGCGCCAGGGGGCAGTGGTGACAGCACAGGGTTACTAAGCCAAAGAGGAGCAGTTCGAGCCCACCAGCGACTCCTCAGGAGTGCCACGTGGGTACTTGCTTCTGTGAAGCTCTTCAGCCCTGGAACAAATGGTGCGGGGCAGTTCCACACTGGCCAACAGGGTCACTGTGAGCAGGAATTGACTCAATAGCAGTGGGCTTGGGGTTTGGTGGAACCCCTTAGGGAAGGCCTCTGAGTGGCACAGACAGGTCGGTGGTTCAGCCAACCCCCGAAGTGCCTGGAGATAGGCCCCGCCTTCTGAGAGGTGGCAGTCTTGAAACCCCTATGGGAGCTGTTGGGTTCTCGATCTACGGGACCCCCGCGATTGGCATTGCCTCCACGCAGGGCCACCAACAGCTCTGCGGACATTCTCGTGGAGACCCTGCACCTTGCTGGGTGCCATCGAGCTGGTTCCGACTCCCATGACCCTGTGTCCAGCAGAGCGAATGCCCGCCCAGTGCTGCGCCATCCTCACCAGGATTCTTATGTCTGAGCCCACTGTTGGAGTCACCATGCCAGTCCATCCCATTGTCCCGCTTCCCCTCCCCTTTGCCAAGCACCATGACCGTCTCCAGGGACGGTGCTCTCCTGACTGCACGTCCAAGATATGCACGGCAACGTCTCGCCAGCCCTGTCTCTAAGGGGCTCTCTGGCCCTTTCTTTCAGGACAGGGGGGTTTGTCCTTTGAGCTCATCCACAGCTGGAGAACAGACAGTCTTCTCCAGCACCACAGTCCAAATGCACCGAGTCTTCCGCGGTCTTCCTTAGTCAGTGCCCGGCTGTCACATGCCTACGAGGCAACGGAAAATACCATGGCTTGGGTCAGCTCCGTCGTACTTCTCAAGTAGTCCTTGCTCTTTGACACTTCAGAGGGGTCGAGTGCAGCAGACTTAACCGCCCTGCAGGGCGTCATTTGCTCTCTGGAGCTTGGCCCAACAGAAAGACGCATCCCCAAGGTGTGCCCATCACGTCAGGAATCAGATGCCGTCCTCCGCCTTCCCAGCCGTGGGTCTCTGTGCCAGCTCTCTGAGGGGGTGTCAGCTCTGTGCTGCCAGGAAGCTCCGATGGCCCTGGGCTGTCCTCCCTCCCAGCCTGCGAGCCCTGTGCTCGGCGGGTGCACACTGAGGCAGCACCCCTGCTTCTAAGTGGATCTCCCTCGCAGCGTTGGCCAGATCTCCACACAATGTATCTCTCCATGGTTGGGTTCTCCAGCTGTGCTTGGCCATGGGCCTTCTCATGGTCACCTCCTCCCACCATTGCTGTTGGCCTGCCATTGCCGTTAGCTGACCCTGAGATGGGCCCTGGCTCACGGAGACCACACACACACCAGCTGCTTCCCAGTCCTGTGTGTGCGGATCAGATTGTTGTGACCCACTGACTGATCTTCAGAAGTAGATCACCAGGCCCTTCTTCCTGGCCTGTCTTAGTCTGGAAGCTCCCATGAGAGCTCTTCTGAACCTAGCACCACACAGCCCTTCAGGCGGACCGGCGGCATTAGCGTGGGGTGCATTGGCCAGGAAGTGAACCCGGCCTCCTGCACTGCGGGTGAGGAGGCTGCTGCTGAGCCACCCTAGAGAAATGAAGGAGGAGGAGCCGTGCCTCGCTCTGCCCTGACAGCTGTGTGTCCCAAGCCACGGCTTGGCCAGACGCTGTCTGTCTGGGGAGGGCTGCCAGGTTTCTTGGCTGACCCGGAGTAGCAGCCGTCCGGGGCCAGACAGAGAACGTTCCAGGGGTTGGAGCGATTGACCACTGGCCTTGCACCCAGTGGCTCTCTGGCTGTGCCAGCACCCACCCCTGGGAGCTGAGGGCGGGGAAAGGCTCAGGAGGATGAGTGGGCCTCTAGACAGACCCTAGTCTCCTAAGCAAGTTGGGGCAGACCTGGAGGACAAGGGGATGGTTGACAGAACCAGGAAGGCCACGGCTGCCCTGGGAAATGGGCCGGTGGCACCGTTTGGCTTGGGTGCTCAGAGGGGTGTCAGTTAGCCCATGGTTCGAGTCCTGAAACTGCTTTTCTGTACTTTCTCCACGTGTCTCCTTAACTCGCCTCGCTGGTCCACACTGCCCTTCAGGACGGCTGCCTGGAAGGGCGGCCGGAAGCGATGGAGCTGAGTCTCTGGGGGAAAGCGTACGGAGCAAGCCCGTGTTCCAGGGTGCAGCACCCTCCCCGCTCCTTCCCCGTGGTAACCATTTCCCTGATTTCCCGTCTGTCCATCCCTTCCTCCTTCTGAGCCTTATTCCCACGCAAGCGTCCCAGGCAGTGTCCCTCCGGGTGCTGCGGCCTGTTGATCCTTTGGCAGAAAGTTGCACTGAAAGGGTGGGGGTGGAGGTGATTCAGCTGGGGGGCGGTGACGAAGGGGCACCATCTGGGGGTCCCCCCAGTTGCTATCACACCAGCAAGCCTGGCCTTTTTACTGAGGTTGAGTTTTGTTCCCCATCCCACCCACTCTATCCAGGATCTCCCATATCCCATCTTTTCCAGCCGGGGTATCCGGACACCATCTAGTTCATAAACTCCCACACTGATTGGGCCACCTCCCTGTTTCAGGGGAAAAGAATCACTCAGCACACCCCTGGTCACGGAAGACGTGGCACTAACATCCAGAATCCAGGATAGCGTGTCGGTGTCTGCTTTTGCAGCAGCCCCGTGAGCAGTGGCTCTGTGTTGGGTTGCTAGGCACAGGTCGGCAGTTTGAAACCACCAGCTGCTCCTTGGGAGAAAGATGAGACTTTCTACTCCTGAAAGGGTCAGCGTGTCAGAAACCCACAGGGGCAGTTCTGCCTCGTCCTGTAAGGCCACACTGAGTGAGGATCAGCTCGATGGTGTGAGTTTGATGTGTCTGCTGCCCACCCCCGGTCCTTCCGGCACCCCTCACTCACTCTGTAGAGTCGATGCTGCCTCGTAGAGACCCTATAGGACAGGGTAGAACTGCCCTGTGGGTTTCTGAGACTGCAGATCTTTACGGGAGCAGAGAGCTTGTCTTTCTCGTAGATGATATTAAGCCAGGTTCTCATTCCTGCCCCTGTGCTCCCAGCCTCTCAGACTGCCAATGAAACTGTTAAGAAATAAAACCCCAAAGCTAACGTGTAGTATTTTTTAAGTTTTATTAGCACTTCATCTCTGTGCCATACAAATCCATAATTCAATTAGATAGCATGTGGTCTTTTGAGAAGTAGATGTCAGTACAGGTGGATCTTTTTTATTTTTTATTTTTGTTGTTTTCTTCTAACACAACGGTTCTCAACCTGGGGTCACCTGATTTATAACAGTAGCAAAATGACAGTGATGAAGTAGCAAAGAAAATAATTTTATGGTTGGGGTCACCACCACATGAGGAACTGTATTAAAGGGTTGCAGCATTAGAAAGGTTGAGAACCACTGTTCTAACGGCTTATTGAGGTATGATTCACGTATAAGACAATTTACCAGTTTCAAATGTATAATTCAATGCCTTGATTTTTAAACCATCCTGGTTTGTGATACATCACCACAGTCTAATTTTAGAGCATTCTTCTCTAGCCGGAAAGAAGCCCCATGTCCATCCAAGTCACTCCCCCTTTCCCGCCCTCGTCCCCCTACTTACCCACTAGTCCACTGGCCCTCTGTACCCTGCCCCCTAGCCTGGAAGCTCATGTCCCGGAACCAGACAGCAGGTGGCCTCCTGTGACCAGCGTTCTCAGTAACGAGTTCGCCAGCTTCATCCAGCATCTTGTTCTCTACATTTAAACGCGTGTTCTAAAACTGCACCTGCTGTGGAATGCCCGCCTGCTTGTGCTGGAGTAGACCTGGACCCCCAGGGCCCCCAGAGGTGCCTTGGGGTAGACCTGAACCTCCAATCTTCCTGCCTGTGAATGGCCAAGTGCATCATGGCCGGAGCCCCTGCTTCGAGTGGCCCTTCCTCCTGTACTGGCCGTCTCCTGCTTTTGAACTAGACCGAGTTTTGCCCAGGGCATGGGCAATCCCTGCCTCTGGAGATGTCACCTGCGCTGGCCTCGGTGGGGGTGGGAGTCGGGGCAGGGGGAGGTTTGCATCTGGTTCCAGCCCTGCTCACCTGGTGGCAACCCGTCCTTACTCAGATCCTGGGTGAGTGGGCTCCGGGGTGGGGCGGAGGCAGCAGGAGGGGCAGTCCCTCGGGTGACACTGATGGAAGGAGCCCTCCAAATGGTTAATGATGACTCACTCCTGTCTGAGCATATGGGGAGGCACTGCTTCCTGGTTCTACAGAAAGGGGGGCCGAGAGCCTGCTCCCCACAGGCAGCCAGAACCACAGCGCCTCAGGCCGTCCCGGGACTGGGCCCTCTGGAGCCCGGGGCCATCAGCGCCTCTGGGGGAGGGTCCCCACCACGGAACTGCCACCTGTCTCGTCTGTGGGCTGAGCTATTGTCTCCCCGCTTCCTTCTTGAGTGGGTGGGAGCGACTCGGCACTGCTGGTGGAGGGGCCCGGCAGAGCTGCGCTGACAGCCGGCTGTGTGCTTCTCTTCCAGCCCCGGAGGAGAAGGACGTGATTAGAGGGCAGTATGGGAAGCTCACGGATGCCTATGGCTGCCTGGGCCAGCTCACGCTGAAGACCGGTAAGTGCCCTTTCCCCCGGAGGGGGAGTGCCGGGTGGGGGGCTGTGGGGTTCATTTCAGCCTGGATCATCTTTTCAAGCGTTTCTCTGTCTCTGCCATGCCTGCTTCTCTGAGCCTCACCTGTCTGCGCAGGTGGAGGTGGGAGCTCCTCAGGCTGCCGGCTAGTCCCTAGACACCCCGGGGGTGTCTCCCCGGGGAGTGCTTTGTGGTGTGCGTGGGGCCTGCTGTGGGGGATGGAGGCCAGGGGTGTGAACTGTGGCGCCGCGACCTCACTTTATCGAGCTCCCTTTCATTTGCAGCCCAAGCTTCCCATCCTGTTCTCTCGCTCCTGTTTGCTTTGGGGGAAAAAAATCAATGTAAAGATATGCATCGAATCAAAGATGTGCCAAGCCAGCACTTGCTCCTTGTTCAGTTTGGTGACGGGGGTCCAGCCTCGGGTCCAGCAGCCATCATCACCGCTGCCCCCCTGTCAGTCAAGCCATCGCCCTCACTCCTGGGCTGTCCTGAGGGGAAAGGAGCGGGGTCGGCCAGGGGGTCTTAGTGTGAGACACGGGCTGGGCTGGGGAGAAGAGTGGAGGTTGCATCCAGAGAAGGGGCAGAGGGGCAAGGGGAGAAGTGGGTGGACGGCTCAGCGTGAAGGCTGCTGCCTCCCCAGCCACAGTGCTAGCCGCTTCTCTCACCAGGAGCCCCCGGTGGTGATGTGGCCCTGTCCGGTGGGAAGGCCGGGGGCCGAGCTGAGCCAGGCTGTCTCTCCATCATCCACTGCAGGTGACCTTAGAGTCTGAGGGTCAGAAAGCTGACCGAGAAGCTCTTACGTTGGCTGCCACTTTGCTGGCTCTTTCTTTCCAAGGATGACTGTCCCTGGAGTCTGACCAGTGAAGCGATCATTTCTGGATGACGTAGTTGGGTGCTGTCCAATCGGTTCCGACTTGTCACGACCCTCTGTTCAGCAGAACTAAACACTGCTCCCTCCAGTGCCAGCCTCACGATTGTGCTGACGTTTAAACCCACGGCCGCCACCACTGGCTCCATCCGTCCATCTCGTCGCGGGCCTTCCTCTCCTTCACTGCCGTCTCCGCTTTGCCAAGCACGATGTCCTTCTCCAGGGACTGGTCTCTCCCGACCACGTGTCCAAAGTCCGTGCGGGGAAGCCTCACCATCCTCGCCTCTGAGGAGCATTCTGGCTGTACTTTTCCAAAACAGATCGGTTCCGATCCAGATTCCCGGGTCGTATCCCAGAACAAAACCACTGGGTGACCGCCCGCGGCAAAATGCATTGTTTGGGGGGGGGGGGTCTGTTTCTGCCTTCTGCACACAGTGGTTACCGTGATGCATCTTATCCTGGTCTGCCTGTCAGGGGAATGGGCTCAGAGCTCTAGTCACCAGCTCCTGGTCAGACACTTCGCCCTGGTGGTGCCACTCAGCTGCTAACCCAAAGGTCAGGGTTCGAACCCACCAGCGGTCCCATGAGAGAAAGGACCTGGTCAAAGGTCACAGCCTGAAAACCCCACAGGGTCATCCTTCTCCATCTCATGCGGCCACTGTGAGTCAGGATTGAGTCCAACAAGAAGCTTGGTTGGGTTCAAACCCACATCTAGCTTCTTCCACACACTGTTATTTTTCCCCCTAAGGGGACAGCTGTACCCGCGGCCCTGTCTGCAGCCAGAGTGATGGTCCCCAGGGCAACAAGCCCTTGCTCAGCTCAGCGGTAGATTCCTTGGCTTCCCTCTGAGGCCCCGGGCTCGAGTCCCGGCTGTGCTGCTCAGGCTCAGCTGCCACTCCTCTGTGGTTCAGGGGAGCTTCCAGACCAAGATGGGCTCAGAAGAAAAGCAGGAGCCAGGTTTGACCTGACAGCCGATGACAGCTAGTTACTGCACCCTCACTGCAGCCTGTGGGGGGACAGTAAAGCCACGGCGCTGCCATCAAGCCAGTTCCCGCTCACAGCAGGCCTGTGGGACAGGGTGGAACAGCCTCTGTGGGTTTCCGGGACTGTCACTCCTGACAGGAGTAGAGTTTCTGCCGTGCAGCACCGGGGTGGTTTCGAACTACTGATCTGGCAGTTGGCAGTCCAGTGTGTAGCCCATTGTGCCACCAGGCTGCTACCTAAACAGGAGGTGCGGTTCTTGCTCTGTTGGACCAGGTAGAAAGCACTCCAGGTAGCACACCAAGTGTTAGACTGCACCGTGGGCCACCTGCCGCTCCGAGGGAGAAAGAGGAGGCAGGCTGCTGCCATCAAGAGGGCTGGTGGGGGTGCCGCCAAGCCGGTGACAACTTGTGTCGGAACAAAACACCGCCCGGCCCGCGCGGTCCTCACAGACTGCTCTCCTGTCTGAGCTCGTTGTTGCAGCCCCGGGCCCGTCCCTCCCCTCGAGGGTCTGATGGGGGCGGTTCTGCACGGCCTTAGAGAGTCTCTGTGAGTCAGAGTCCATTTGGCGGCCGTGGATTTGTGTCCTCGGGTACAGACGCAGAGTGGCCTCAGACTGTCAGTGCTGCAGCTCGTCCGTTGTGGGACGGTTCCCCGACTCTCGCCTCTACGACGACGCCGTCTCGCAGTCCTTGGACAGTCGCACCCGGCAGCATTGTTCCTAGTACATGAGCTCACGTTGCGTCTCTCAACTGGTGGGGACTTGGAGTTGGCCGTGCGCTGTCCCCTGCCCACGTCCTCAAGCGAGAAGCTGGTTTGGCCTTTGGGGTTAGAGCTGTGGGAAGGGGGAGGGTCTCTGTGCTCTGTGAATGGGGTGGGGGGTGCCCTTTAAGCACATTCCTTCTGAGATCTAAGAGAGCTGATGACAAGCAGGCACCAGGAAGTAGGGGACAGATGCTCCACGGTTACCAAGGAGCATATATATGGTGAGGGAGATGGGAGAGCGCAGGAGTGAGAGAGCCTTCCGCTGAGCGGGTGCCCTGAATTCACACCGCAGCCTGCTGCACCCTGAGAAAGAGGAGCTCCCTGAACAGCAGTTCCGCGCACGGTCCCAGGTGGCTGCTAGGAGTCGGGCTCCCTGGGCGGCTGTGAGAAAATAAATGTCTGTTCATGAAAGTCCCTCCCTTGAGCCTTTCTGTCATAGCTGAGACGCTGGTTTCCAATCCGCTGCCTGGCCTGATCCTAGGTCTACGTTCAGGCCTGCTTTGCTCTCTCTTCCCGGAAGGGAATCCAGCCTGGCTGGGATTCCAGAAGAGCACTATCACTCCCACATCCATCAGGGGACACGCTTCCTGGACTGGGAGCAAAAACCGGATGGGCACCCTTATATAGGGCGTGGGGGGGTTGCCCCTAAAAAACATTGGATAGAAGGAGCCAGCAGTCTGTGGGGTCCTCAGCCCAGTGTGACCTTGGGACTTCAGCAGGATTGTCACCAGTGCCATGTCCATCTACCAAGGCCTCCAGACACCTGCCCCACCCTCCCCACCCAGGAGCGAGTGGCTGCAGCCTCTAAGGGGTGGGTCAAGGCCATGGTGCTGGGTGGCGTGGGCTCGGGGAGTCCCAGACAAGTCCTAGACTGACGGACGCCCTGGCTACAACGATGGGCTCAAACACAGCAGTAGCTGTGAGATGCTGTTGTCCACTGGGTTGCTGTGAGTCGGAACCGACTTGCGAGCACCTGACAACCAGGGACAGCAAGCAGTCTTTCCTGTTAGAAACTGAAGACCCGTGCGCAGAAATGGCCCCAGAGCTTTGTCCTCCCTGAGATGCCAGCAGCTGCTTCCCGAGGGCGGCGTCACCTGCGAGCAGGAGAGCAGTTCTGGAAGAGCTCAGCCAGGGACTGAAAAAGAACCCAAGCCGAGCCCCTGCCCCAGAGCCCCTCTGACTCAGAGGACCCCGGAGGACAGGGTAGAGCTGCCTCTCTGGGTTTCCGGAACTGCAACTGTCTACTGCAGGAGAAAGCTACATCTTTCTGCTCAAAGCAGCTGGTGGTTTCGGATGGCTGACTCCGTGGTTGGCAGCCCAGTCATAACCATGACGCCACCGGGGCTGCCCTGTTCTTAACCTGCACTCCCAGGGCCTCCCGCTCCGTAGCCCCCGGAACGCCACCCAACCCTCCCTGTCTAGAGAGCTGAGTGCTTGCAGGGGTGCAGTGCACAGCCTGTGCAGTTGTACGTGACAGCCCTAGAAAGGTGCCCCCCTGCCCACCACGCCAGCAACACTCCCGGTTCTAGTAGCAGCATCCCAGTGGACCGACCTGCATTTGTTCACTCGTTCTCCATCTAGCTCACCAGATATCTCAGAGCTCTTCAAAGATCAGATGGTAGGAGGGGGGCGTGGGGGGGGCGCCTGTGGTGGCCTGGAGGCAGGTGGCCCTTTGGTGGAATGTGGCCTGGTGACAGTGCAGCCCTGGCACAGATAGGGAGGCCCCCAGGGGTTCCGTTCCCTGCCCCCATGAACACTGCATCCCCATGACCCCATCACAGGGACTGGTGAGGGGGACTGAGTGGGTATGGCCAGCAGGGGGTCTTCTTGGGAGAGAGGTGTGGAGAGAAGGTCCTGAGCTCCTGGTGGCTGGCTGGGACACTGGCTAATGGGGGTGGGGTGGGTTGTTGGGGGGCTGCTTAGTGAAAATTCATGCATCAGGAAGGTTGACCTCTCCCGTGTAGCCTTTGGCAGGTCAGGGAACATGGGGCTCTCTAGCAAGCCTTGAAGTGGGATGACTTTGCCAGTCTCTTTCTGGTAGGTCCCATCGAGTCGGTTCCAGCTCACAGCCATCTCATGCACGACAGAGGGAAGCAAGCGCACACACACACACACACACACACACACACACACACACCGCCCACCCGGTGTTAGGGCATCCTCAGAGTCGTTGCAGCCGCTGTGTCAGTCCATCTGCTTGAGGGCCTTCCTCTTGGGCTGATCCTCGCCTTCACACCAAGCATGGTGTCCTCCTGCAGCGACTGGTTCCTCCCGACAGCATGCCCAAAGCCTCGCCACCCCCACTTCTGGGAAGCATTCTGGCTGAACGTCTCTCAAGGAGATTAGTTTGTTCTTCTGGTGGTCCCTGGTA